ATCAGAATGGCGTTATGTGGAGATTTAAGTAATTTAATAGTTGAATTCATGAGTCAATTGCAGCTAGACCACCATGGAAAATCTGGAAGCATTAGGTGGTCGTTTCATCCAAATGTGGGACTCCTCAGCAGTGTTAACTCACCATATCACCTCACAAGATTCGAACTCAGTAGAGTTCAACCAGGTGTGTTGTGAGATAGTAACTCACTGAAGACAATGGTGAACGGTGGCACGATTTCGTGGATTGGTTGAAGTTAGACATTAAAACAGTTTGAAGTTGGCTCAACGGTCTAGATATTAAGCATTTGTGCGCGAGACGGATGTGTTCTATGTTCGAATCTCGCGAGCGGGATCATGGATGCGCACCACTGAGGATTCCCATAGTAGGACGAAACGGCCGTCCAGTGCTTTCAGGTTTTCCATGGTGGTCCAGCTTCAATTGGCTCATGAATTTAACTATTAAATTTTAAAAAAATTATTTTAATTTTTGTTTCATACTAGTGGAATAAAAACTCGGTAGGTGTTGGCCCATATTCAATTTATTCAATATCTATTGAAAGCAAAATGCCACATATAATTAGTGTCATTGAATTAAGTAAACTAGTTATTAGTTGAAGTGGTTTTAAGCAGTGATAAAGTTCATCCGTTTCATTTAGTTTGTTAAATTTTACAAGTCTAACGATTACGATATTAAGGCTAAAATATTCTCAATAACTCAGATAAATATCTGAAATTACGTTTGGAGTTCAGTTTAGTGATTCGTTGAAAATGTTTGTCGTTTGGTTAGACTAAACTTCTTCAAAATTGCTCAACGTTTTTCTTTGAGTCTCTCAGTTTATATCTTATAAAATCTATAAATGAGCATATCAGTCATCAAAAGATACTTAGAAATCATTGGTGTAGATTGGTCTCTAATCTATCACTTTCTTTCAATAAAACATCTGTTCTAACTGGAAATGTAATACAAAATACAATACTGATAAAAATATTCAATTATTTTGATGGAATTATAAAAAATACGTATGCCATATCTAGCAGCTTTTTGTCAAGTTCAGTCATATCAAAAGTATCCATAGCTCTTCTCCAAAAACGTCACCTCTCTTCAAGTACTAAGTGACATAAAAAAACAATATCGACGAGGTATATTCACTATACACACATTATTATTATTCGCACTGGTTTGTATCTTTTCACTGTTGACATTTAGGTCTACGTTCGATCAAACTTTTTTGAATGAAAATCTTTATGCATTACACGCTGTCACCAGCTTATTATAATTTTAAATACTGGCTGATAATAAAGTGTAAAACATGCATCTCGTCTAATACAGATCTCATTCTCTAGCTGTGTCCGAATCCCACCGTTGTTATAATTCCAGTCATTGAAAACTGAGCACGTTTACAAATGAATGAATAATTGATCTATAAACAGTACAGATGTCAAACAATAATGATCATCCGCTTGGTATTGTTTTACTTGAATCTTCCCATTGATGTTTTAGAACTGAAATTGATCAGTCTCCCCATTGCACAAGCAAGTGGCTATCAGGACTCAGTAGCTAAGTGGATAACGCAATGGCGTTTGAAGCGAACGGTACTGAGTTCGAGTCCCAGAGTAAACATCAACTCTGAGATGCAGGTACATCCAGCTGACGAGTCCCGAATAGGACGAAACGCGCGTCCTGAATTCCACTGCTAGCCACTATCCATCTTTGCTAATAATGATCATCGCTCTATCATTGAAACATAATTTGCACATAATTACTAAACAGTAAACGAAAACATATATGTTCAAGTGTGAATGTGTTAATCAACAAATATGTCCAATTGGATAGTCGGAAATGCTAACAATTCAAGAAGAATAAGTGAATACCAAAAACAGTAAATCGATCGAAACTGTAAACTATATTCATCAAATATGATTCAATAATAATTCATTTTTTCAATGGTTAAGATCATGAGTCAATTGAAGCTAGACCACCATGGAAAACCTGGAAGCACTGGACGGCCGTTTCGTTCTATTGTGGGACCCCTCAGCAGTGCGCATCCATGACCTCGCCCCCTGCGAGTTTCGAACCCAGGACCTACTGGTTTTGTGCGCGAGCACTTAACCACTAGACCACTGAACCGGCATCCAACGGTGTTAATGTCTAACTTCAACCAATCCACAAACTTGCGCCACCGTACACCATTGTCTTCAGTGAGTTGATATCTCACAACAGACCTGGTTGAACTCCACTGGTCACTACTTCTCACTAGAACTCCAGGATATACCTCGTGAAGCCAGTCACTAGTGAGCATATGTTGATTAATATCAGATGGGTTTTTTGTGGATATCATAGTAATTTCAATGGTTAAGATCATGAGTCATTTCTTTTTAATAATTAAAAATAAACGTTTTTCTTATTAATACACAGTACAAAATTATTTTGTTTAAATTTTTTCATACAGCATTTCATATGTTCTATTTTGTTTATTTTTTAAATTTATATTTAGCTGTATTTAAAGATTTTCTACGAGAATTACCAGAACCCTTATTCACTAGTGCATTATATCCAATGTTTTATGATGCCATGCAAATAGCATTGCCTGGATTTACACAAAGTGGTGCAAAACTTGTATTAAATATTTTAGACTGCCTACCAGCAAATAATCAGGTAAGCAGTTATATTTTAGATGCAGTTTTTCCTGTACGTAGTTTGTTTTCTACATAATAATTAGAAAACGATGTGTTTTTAACATTAAAAAAATTAAGCTATTTGAATAACACAATAAAGATTGAATTCATGAATCAATTGAAGCTGGACCACCATGGAAAACCTGAAAGCACTGGACGGCCGTTTCGTCCTACTATGGGAATCCTCAGTGGTGCGCATCCATGATCCCGCTCGCGAGATTCGAACATAGAACACATCCGTCTCGCGCACAAATGCTTAATATCTAGACCGTTGAGCCAACTTCAAACTGTTTTAATGTCTAACTTCAACCAATCCACGAAATCGTGCCACCGTTCACCATTGTCTTCAGTGAGTTACTATCTCACAACACACCTGGTTGAACTCTACTGAGTTCGAATCTTGTGAGGTGATATGGTGAGTTAACACTGCTGAGGAGTCCCACATTTGGATGAAACGACCACCTAATGCTTCCAGATTTTCCATGGTGGTCTAGCTGCAATTGACTCATGAATTCAACTATTTAAATACTACAATATCCACAAATCCCCTCTCTGACAATAAAGACTGATTAAGTTTACAAGTAGTTTTTATATATCTTCTGAAGACTAATGAAGTAACAGAAAGAACACAGTAGAACGCTGCTTTGTTTCTAGCTTTAAAAACGTATGGCCTGAACTGTTGAGAAAAATTTAACTTACGGTGATAAAAAGTGTCTAGTACATCGTAGTTTGATAATTATTCTAATACTCTTATACGGAACCTTCTTCAAATATATATTTATTTAATGACATGTATACTTTATCAATAAATCATAACACAGTGACATTCTACTTATGATCATAGTGCCCAGTATGATAATCAATTCGTCATTAATAAATGAATTTATAAAAGACTAAATCATTTTGAGTAGGGAGTGTTTTTTTAAAAAAATAATTACAATTTACTTTTATTTTATCTTGAATAATTGAACTGTTTACAGTTAGATTTCACAAGCAGCTAACAGTTACGTCTGATTATTGTTCAATTCAATAGTTTTCAGAAGTAGTTATATATTCTGATCAATTATTATTATTAAGAACGATAAAGAAGAAAGTAAATTAACCAGATATTACTTTGTACAATCGTATGTATAAGTTGATTCGTTCAAAAAACCGTTTGTGACTATGACAACGTTGTGAACTTTTAATAAAAGACACACATGATTCACAAACGAACAAACAAACAAATGTGAAAGATGAGAGTTTTTTTCTGAAATCCAATTTACGAATATTTTGACTAGATATTAGACGCTTTACATATCCAGTCTATGGATGAATTTTTATAATAAAAAAACATTTAATGACGTTAAAGAATCCATTTTGTACTTTCTACAACTTTATCACCGGTGAACCTAAAAAAATAATCCATACAAAAAGAATTTCAAATGGTTAATGAAAGTGTTCGAAATTGAAATCCTTTATAGACAGGTAAATTTGTAATCATTTACTTCTCATAGTGACTCTATAGCCAAATTACTCATAGCTTAAATACATAAAATGCTTTATGCTAAATTTTTAAAAAATATTGAAATTTGCAGAAAAACATGTAGACTATTCAAATTAGAAGTATTTGACTATCTTTTCACAAAAGTATGTCATTTTATTTAGAAAATATGCCAATCAGCCATCAAATCTTGGTATAACTTTTCATTTTCTGGAAAATTCAGATATTCTTTTGGTGTTTTTCATTAAATAACATCTGGTCACACTTTAAATCGTATTTGCTTCCAATTGTTAATGCACTCAACAACAAGATTATCTACGGTTTCTAGATTTTTTTTAGTCTCTACATTGAATATCTAGTTATAACGAAACTTATTTTTTGGTGGGGCCCTTCATTTTGACGTCAATTAGACCACACAATGACGTCAACGAACTCACTACTTTAGTGGCCCGTGATCTGACTCCACTTTGATCGTTTTTTATTGCTAATGTGATATATATATCGCCAATTAACGTATATATCGTTGACTTATATCGCGTTAGTGAATAACTGAATTAAATAAGTCAAATACGAGAATGAATTTTGAATACGTATATTTCACACAATATTTGATCCAGACAAAATATCGGAGGAGAGAGAGCGAAGCGAAATGACGCTCAGTGAAGAAGGCTCATGAGCCAACTCCACACACAAGCTACAGATATGTGATGAATGGGATAAGAATGGCACACATATGTGCTCATATAAAAACAATCAAGATTGATAAGCGAATAATTAATAAAGTCAAAATATGACTCAAATAGAATGAATAGATTGACCTATCCGAAAACTAGAGTTAGGTATATGGGCTTAACGTAATAACCGACACCACAATGTCATGTAATTTTTATGCAAATGCATCAAAATAAGTTTTCCAGTTAGTGAAATATCATTATTAACATTAAACGGATACAAATTTATGTGAATTCATTGTGATATTTCCTAATTACTGATTATTGTGAATCGCGAGTTGGCTACTCTAAATTCTACCAATTGACAAGCTTCAGATATCCCAGTTCGACCCCAATACTGTTCCCAATCTCCAATATATCAGAACACGAACCGTAGATGAAAAATCGTTTATGGGGTCAGGAGCAGCAGAATAATGACTTACAAACAAATGCATATTTATACAGTTAGGATTACTATAAATATTGACCAACAGAAAGATGACACGTTAAATAATATTGACCAATAGGAAAATGACACGCGAAATAAATATTGATCAGTAGGGAAACGACCAATAGGGAAATGACACCATTTAACGTTCAAGGGTAGCGTTAGACTTAACCGGATAATTGTTTCTGGGATATTTTTCTGAGTATCCCAACACCTCCCCTTTGGAGAAGTTAATAGCGACGTAACCGAGGGTTTACTTGAAGTTTCTTTGGGTGTCTTCTTTTGCGATCCGACCTCCGAGGCAACCACACAGAACCAGAAGGATGTTCTACTTGAGTAGATGACTTAGTCGTCTCTGTTGGAGGTATTGGCGGAAGCTGAAACGTGTCCAACAGCAAGTCGAGTGGGACATGTTTTGTAATTGCTTCTTTCTCCTTCGCTTCCCTTGACCTGAGTTGATTGTGGTGCCTGGTCCAGATTTCTTGGTTCACCTTGACATCATACATGACGTTCCCATGTTTTTGTGTGATTTCACCCTCTACCCATCTATCGCATCCATGTCTATAATCTCGCGCATACACTTTTGTACCAACTTCGTAGGGAATTCGAGTATTCTTCATCTGGGGGCTTTGCTGGGCCACTTTCTTGGGTTTCATCTCACCATGAACTGTCCGTAGCTTTCGCCCCATAAGCATCTCAGCAGGGGATTTGGAGTTTGGCAATAAGTCATGCGGGGTCGTCCGGTACGCGACTAGGAATCGTTCTATGATATCTTCTGTGGTCCCCTCCCCTCGTGCTTTGAGCATGGCTCGTTTAAATGTATCAACGAACCTTTCAGCTTGTCCATTAGATTGGGGGTGATATGGCGGAGAACGAACATGGCTGATCGAATTTTGCAGGCAACATTCTCGGAATTGGCTAGATGTGAATTGTGAACCATTGTCTGTTACTATTGTTTCTGGAAGACCATGCTGAGCGAAGATCCGATTGAGGAGTTTGATGGTTCGAGTTGTAGAGGGTGGCGCAATCGGTAATATCTCCGGCCATTTGGAGTATGAGTCAACCAGTATCAGATATGTGGTACCATCTAGGGGTCCGGTGAAGTCAATATGCACTCGCGACCAGGGTTTTTCTGACTTTGGCCAGGGTACTGGAGGCAACTTAGGAGGATTTTTCGCAGCTTTTTGACAATGTGAACATCTTTTGACGAAGTCGACAATCTGCTTGTCCATATTTGGCCAATATGCATAGCTTCGAGCGATAGATTTCATACGGTTTATCCCTGGGTGTCCAGAGTGGAATTGGCGTAGGACTTTGGAACGTAGGGTTGTTGGAATTACTACGCGATCACCGAACATCAGACAATCGTTAACAATACAGAGAGCGCTGCGACGATTCGCTAATTGTTGCATATCACCACTCAGCTGCTTAACTGGCCATCTGCTCTGAACATAGGTGATCACTTCTTGGATAATCGGGTCTTCTCTGGTAGCTTCCCGAACATCTTCAGCGGTAACAGGCATTGCTCGAACGGCATTCGCCAATAGTGTAGCACCGGAATCCTCTTCGGTTGATACTGTGGCTATGAGTGTGTCCTCATCAGTGGTAGAATGGTTACTGATGAGTCTGGACAGTGCATCCGCTTGACCCAAATCTTCGGAACGTCGATACTGGATGTCGAAGTTGTACCCGAATAACCCCAACGCCCAACGTTGAAGACGATTAGCAGAATGGGCAGGGATGCCTTTCTTTGATCCAAAGATTGATAACAACGGCTGGTGATCTGTGAGCAAAGTGAAACGGCGCCCATAAATGAATTTGTGGAATCGCCGGATAGCAAATATTAGGGCTAACGCTTCCTTCTCTATCTGGCCGTAGCGTTTCTCAGCAGGTGTTAGTGTTCTCGAAGCGTGCATCACCGCTTTCTCTGACCCGTCGGGAAAGACATGTGAGATTACGGCACCCAGTCCATGTGTTGAAGCGTCAGAAGCAACCACAATGGGTAGTTTCGGATTGTAGTGGGTTAGCAGAAGATTGGAACTTAGCATGGCTTTAAGTTTTGAAAAGGCTGATTCACATTGCGTTGACCAATTCCAAGTAGCATTCTTTTCTAGCAGACGATTTAATGGATATCGTACGTCATGCAGTGACGGAAGAAATGCTGAATAGTAGCTAATCATCCCCCAAAATGATCGCAGTGAGGAGACATCAGTGGGAGCAGGCATTTTTTGGATTGCGTAAGTATTTTGAGGATCAGGGTGTCGTCCGGAAGCATCAAAGATAAACCCCAGGTACTTAACGAAACGTAAGAAGAATTGGCATTTTTCTGGGCGAAGGCGAAAACCATTATCCTGGAGGCGTTGCAGAACTAAGCGGGTTCTGGTATGCAATTCGTCAACAGTTGAGCCGACAATGAGCACATCGTCAAGGTATGTAGCAACACCAGGAACATCTGCCAGAATAGTGTCCATGATCTGCTGGAAGATCGCTGGAGCAGTTTTGATACCGAAGGGTAACCGGGTATACTGAAAAAGTCCTCAGTGAGTGTTGATTGTCAACAACTCTCTCGATTCGAGAGCGACTGGAATTCGAAGGTAAGCATCTGCCAGATCCAGCTTAGCAAAGTAGGTACCACCATTTAAAATAGTAAATAAGTCATCTGGGATCGGTAGCGGATAGTGATGCTGTTGTAGAGCCGCGTTGAGTCCTGTGGAAAAGTCTGCACAGATGCGTATGGAACCATTGGATTTTTTTACAACCACAATTGGTGCAGCCCATGATGAATAAGAAACAGGTACTAGGACACCTTCAGTTTCCAAACGTTGAAGTTCAGCGTCAACCAGAGGTAAAGATGCGTATGGGACTGGACGCTTTGGGCGAAAAACTGGCGTAGCTTCTGGCTGCAGTTTTAAAACAGCTTCAGTTGTGGAACAAAGTCCGAGACCAGACTTAAATAATTCAATAAATCGTTTTCGAAGGTCTTCAGCATGCTGTTGTGTAGAAGCAGTAGTTTGGACTTGATTGCAGATAGCTCTAATAGGAAGATCAGCGAGACCAAGTTCTTCGAACCAATCTAAACCTAAAAGGTTGAGCGGAGAATTGGTGATGTAGCATGTCCCATTGAAGGTTGTACCTCTGAATGAAATACAGCAACAGAGTTCACCATGAAGGCGGAGATGAACCCCACAAGCACTGACGGCTGTTTGAGAGGATGGTTTGATGGGAGGTTGACCCAAGATTCGCCAAGTCTTTTTCGACAAAATGGTGATATCTGATGCAGTGTCCAACTGCAAACGAACAGGCTGGCCATTGATTGAGAGGGTCAGAAATTTGCGTCGTGTCGCGGCATGAGTATGGAAGACTGCTGCTAAACTCCTTGATGAGGTAATCGGCTTTTTGTGAAAACGACGCTGCGTCTGTACATTTTGACGGTTATTGTATCGGTTGGATTTGCAAAAGCCGCTTTTGTGACCAACTTTCTGACAGCGATCGCACACATGCTGTTTGAATGGACAGAACTTCACATAATGCCAGGCTCCACAGTGCCAACATGGCGAGGGGGGCTTCTTCTGAACCGGTTTAGAGTGATTAGAGATAGAAACAGCGCTGGCGTTCGAAGGACTCGAGTTTGTCGATCTCGAAGATTTTTTCTGGTGCTGAACAGCATGAACTTCGGAACCACCCTGGCCCCCAGATTGAACCAAAGTGGTGTCACGCTGCAGATTGATGATACGCTGGTATTCGTCTATGATCGCATAAATGTCAGTGTTGGATCTTGTTCAAGGCGGTTGAGCAACCGAGTTCTGATGTCGGAGAATTTGGGTGACTGAAGACTGCATATGAGTACTAGGGACTTGAATTGGTCTTCAGTGAGGGATCTGAGCTTGAACCGTTCGCACTCACGGTTAACAACGCCGACGTGGGTCAGGAAGTCATCAGATTCATTCATGACCAGTTTTAAGCAGCGATATCGGGTACTGAAGAGTGAGTGATGATCACCAAAAAGTTGGCTAAGGGACTGAATAGTGGCGTCGAATGAACGGTCGCGTGGGTTCTGCGGTAGAATGAAATTGCAATACTTATCCAGCTCGGATGGACCAAGTTTACGGAGAAGAAGACGCACCTTCCACGAATCATCTCTATCAGCAAAGTCAACTTTGAAAAGGTCTTCATAACGTCTGAACCAGGTATCAAATGTAATGTTGGCATCAGGATCATAAAGAAATTCTGAAATACCACTGGTAATACCATCAACTGATTCAGGAATTGTCGGTGCAATTGGGACTCGAGAAGATATGTGCGTCTGAGTAATCATCTCCATCAGCTTCAGCTGCTGTTCGAACAATTTTTCTAATTTGGATGGATCCATAGTTAATCACAAACTTGTTGCTAAATCTCCGTCGCCAAATTTATTGTGAATCGCGAGTTGGCTACTCTAAATTCTACCAATTGACAAGCTTCAGATATCCCAGTTCGACCCCAATACTGTTCCCAATCTCCAATATATCAGAACACGAACCGTAGATGAAAAATCGTTTATGGGGTCAGGAGCAGCAGAATAATGACTTACAAACAAATGCATATTTATACAGTTAGGATTACTATAAATATTGACCAACAGAAAGATGACACGTTAAATAATATTGACCAATAGGAAAATGACACGCGAAATAAATATTGATCAGTAGGGAAACGACCAATAGGGAAATGACACCATTTAACGTTCAAGGGTAGCGTTAGACTTAACCGGATAATTGTTTCTGGGATATTTTTCTGAGTATCCCAACACTGATCTAACATTTATTTGATACTTTGGTGAAATAATTTCAATTCGAGATTAAGGTATTTCTACACAACTTGAAAATTTTAAATACCAATAGCAGTGATATTACAGTACAGAGAAACTGATTTCAAAAGAATAAAATGTGTTTATGTACTTATAACGAATCGGATGAACAGGAAATCTGTAAAGACTAAAAGATCTACCATGAATTTATATTTTAACCACCGAGAAACTACAGAATTATTGTTAACAATGAATATTATCAAACATGAAACCAAAGTCTTAGACTTTGTATTCCTTTTTAATACATCCTAAAACTGCACAACATAATCAATGAGTAAATGCGGTTCGAAATATATAATGATCTCTTTTACTATGGCTGTCTCAAAGTTCGAATCTCCGAGTTGAAATTCAGTAACCATACTGGGATCTCCATTTTGAACCATGAGCTGTCTTTCAATGAGAAAAACTGCTATAGAACTTAAATTGTGACAGGTGTATGACTGTTATAAGTTTAGTACCAAAAAAGAAAACTAAATGACTAGATTTTAGTGCCTGCTTCAACTTCAGGCCAGCTCATCATTCTCTACAAAATCTTCAAACGTCTTTAGACAATATCCCAAACAAAATTATTTTAACCGAGCAGCTCAAAAAATGGATAATGTTCTGCAATGTTGGAAAAAACATTCAACCACCGTTAGTGACAACATCTATTCTATCAAAACTTCAATCGAAGCTAAACTTAAACAATCAAGTTTTTGACAGATTTATTTAAACAATTGCCTTGACTTCAATGAAACATGTTCATTACTAGCAATTAATTCAAGTTTTCATGACCTTAGTGAAAAGTTGGACAGTTCAATAGTACCATCTCTATTTCGATCTCTGTACAAGATGATTTAAAGTCTAAAAGTGAGAACATGCATACATGAACGTCAACATCAAATCTCATTTAAGTTTTCGGACCCACATAAACTTTAGCGCCAGTATATATTTCCGGATTAACGGGGTGTACGTTACATCTCTATATTAGTTTCGAATGATTAGTCACTGATTCGTAAACTTGATTGATATATCATGCCCACAGGTTTACATTTAATAGGTAGGTAATGAGTACAATGTTTTTAATTTAATCTTCTAACCAACACTTCACGACATAACATTCAGTATTTACTCTTCATGAGCAAAAAATAAAGCGAATTCAGAATGCTAATGATAAATCCATTTTATTAACTATAATAACGTAAGTTAAAGTGTTAAATATGGAGCAAGTAACTTTATCCCTTTAATTCGATACGTAACCTAAATTTTTCGATAATGAATCCTCTTAATCCTATAAGAACAAACAATCTATATTCAATTAACGAAGAGTTGTTGAATATGAACTACGAATTATGCATGCGTCCCATTTTACATTATATATTTTATGACTAAGAACGCTTGTCAGCTGAAAGTTGCACTAATTGCTTAGGAGTAACCATTTTAGTAATGTTTTGACATGACCCCGTATTGGTCATCAGGTAGAAATTTAATGAGCAGTGGTTGAATATTGTTGTGGTCACTCGTCATTAGTTTTTGTCTCTGTATGATGGACAGTTTTAATTGGCGCTGGTGAGAAGTCGCGAAATAGAATGAAGTAGCTACACAGTACTTCTTATCTTTTAGGATGACAACTATCTTCTGATTTATTGAGTGCCCATGAAAATACCTAATTAAACAGCAAACTTATTTGAACTGTAGACTTGAAGATGTTAATTTTATGAGTACCTTGATTATATTCAAAACCTTTTTACCTAGGTTCACTGAAAATAGCCTTCTAAGAACATTTTAAGTGATTTTACTTATCACTCTATTTTGAACCCTATGAGCAGCCTAAAACTTAACTTGGAAATTGTGCTGATATCTCACACAAATACTTTAATCAACATTTTTGATCATTTGTTCTAAAAAATTCTCATACAGAATATATGAACGTTATCAATATGATTCTGTTACTTAAGTCGTTCTCCTCTGATAATTTTCAAATTTGAACATAAGGCAAAACTTTCTTCAAACTCTAACCGATGGAGAGCCTTCCATTACTTATATAGGACGTTCCATTGAAGACGGATGAACGTGGAGACTAGTAAGAATTAAAAAATAAGAAGGTATTTCGTACGGTTTTGTTATCTTATTTAGATAAAAGTGTCAAATTCATGTTATCGACTTTTACAGAATTTAGGTATGATTCTAGATTTGTTTAATCACCAGTTTTGTGAAATAAAATAATTATGGTAAATACTTAGCAATAGATAAGTAACTACTTATCGTTTTATTGTTCTCGAAGACAATGTTATCCTAAATACAAGGGAGAGATTATCAACTGCATGTCTTCTACTGTTCGTTTGTCTCAATTTATTAGTCTTTCATCTTTTTCCTCCTTTATTTGGCATGATATTTCCTTTTCTATTGAAAAACGTTTTGTAAAACTTCCTTATGATATAAAAGTGAGTACATCAATAATTTTTCCTTAGACCGTTTTTCAAAGGATAAGTTCTTAACAAGCTTTGAATGATTGATTCTATTGGGTGACCTCAAAATCAATTCCTTTCATATCAAATTGTTGGCTATGGCTTTGAACATCAAAGACAATTTAGAAATTTTCTTGAAGTAAATAACTATGGTAACATGAAGAAGAATATCTAAGGCATATATTGCTTTATAATCTTTTAAATTTGCTTTTTAACAATTGATAATACATTTACTCATACCCTATTGCACAAGAAAGGAACAGCAGGTTTGAAAATAGACACGGTCTAATATGGTGGTTTACAACTTTCCTGTAAACAACCTACATTTAATTGTTTTTTCACCTTACTAAGAAACTTTCTAAAAAGAAATTTACTGCTATTCTGTTAGAGAACTTGAAAGTATTTGTGCATAGATATTTGCTTCAGCACACACAGATAAGTGAACAATATTGTTTTCAGTTTGATCTTCATCGGACTCTAATGTATAATGACATTTATCTGTATGCATGAAAAATATTGCTCAAACGTAATATCCACGTCAATTATTACTTACACTTGAAAGAACGAGGAACCACTGTAATTAACACGACGCGAAGTGAGGACATGAAAGATTGGTAAAAGCGAAGATCTATTAACCTAAAAACACGATAACCCTAGTTGAAAATACGATAATTTATGTATTTGTTGTACAACCATTTTGATTAGTAATTAGAAATCACATATATGGAAAACGGCAAGAACTATAACAAATTTACAATTGATTGATTATTGGGTAATGACCAATGTCATGTGTGTCAGGTACTTCGTAGTACAGAGCGAATTCTATTGACCATGTTGCAATGTGGCCACTAGTCTAGGTGACTCGATATCGTGTGCACGATTT